GCACTGCATTTTTCATTTAAAACTTGAACTCCTAAGAGCTTTATGGTAAAAAGGACCATAACAGTGGGAACCAGATAGACCATTGCCAGCTGTCCCAAAGATATATAACTAGACCTGGTATTTTTATGTACATTAAAACAAACAAACAAACAAACAAAAAACAAATAAAACCCATCAAAAGACAACTAAGAAATTGGTGGAGAGGTTTCTTTTCCCCACATTTGAGTTTTTATGGAGAAAAGTACTCACTTGAAGGTTCAATTATTTTAAATCTTCTATTTCATACCCAAGGTATTTAGACTTACATGACCAGGCTTAACAAAATGTTTTGTGGTACAAAGTGTGGTTGACCACAGGATTATGATTATTTTATCCTTTATAAATAATATCTCCAAGTTGATTTCTAGTCCTTGTGGTTAAGTGAATTCATTTGTATTAGATCCACTGTTTGTATACTCACTATGTTTCTCATGACAGAATTCTGTTATATCAACATAAATATGTACTTTAAAAGAAACACATAGGAAATTCTTAGGAGACCAAAATATCTGTCCCCATGGATAATTTTGTTTTTAATAGCTATGACTTTTTTTTTTCTTTAAATAATTATTTAATTTATTTGATTCCATTTGTTATTATTGCCTTTTTTATTAGATCAGGGAGAAACACAGAGAGAGAGAGAGAAAGGGAAAGTGAGAAAGCAAGCTGCTAGGTCCAGGACTATGGGCAGCTGAGTGGGAATCTAGCGCCTTTAATCACCGTGCCACCTGCCCACTCCAGATGTGACTTTGAAATATATTGTGTTTAAATGATACTTATATCCGGTTGTGTTCCAGAAAGAATTTCAAGTGGGCTTTTTAGTGACTGTTTTAAATTTGAAATTGTCTAAATTTTATTCTATTAAAAACTTTTGGAAACCAGCAGGTGGTATGGTGGTTAAGGTGCTGGACACTCCCACATGGCCAACCATAGTTCAAGTCCTGGACCTGGTGACTTGCTTTCTCCTTTCTCTCTCTCTTCTCTCTTTCTCTTTCTCTCTCTGGTCAAATTAAAATAAAACGAATTAATAAATAAAACAAAATAATTAAAAAAAACAACCTTTTGATAACTGATCCAGCTGTGGTGGTTAAGGTGGCTGGATCCCACATGGCTGATGTTGCAGTTGAGAATCCCAGATCTGGAGACCTGAAAACAAGCTGGACACATGTGTGTGTTTGCCCAGAATCCCTAGAGAAAAATGGAAGAAAAGGGACTATCGTGTAGCCACCCCCCTCACCACCAGGGGTAATTTCTCTCTTTCTCTGTCTGGCAAATACAAATTCCCTATAGAAAAACCAAAAAAAAGCTTCAATAAGTCATTGAAATTCCCATTTTTAAAATGCAGCTTCATTCTAAATTTGCCATTGATTCCTTTTAGGGGAAAATGAACATCTCTCGGTTTTAATTTCTTGATGTTGTCACAGCTCCCACTCAGGAGTAAATTACTCACTTCCTGAGAATCATATTCTTTCCTGGCAGTGCAGTAGCCGTTTGAGCTTTATTCGAAAGAAAAAAAAAAAAGAAGTGATTTTTGAGGATGCTGAATAGAGCAAAGCTAATTTTTTCACTGTGTTTCAAATCATTTCTGGGCATTGAAGAATAAAAGCAGTCATTTATGTTAGTGAAGATCTTGAATTTGATTTCTAGAGCTTATTTTCTATGCAGTATTAATGAAAGCCAAAATTGACAAGGCAGATATTTGCTGACTATTGTAGAAAGTTACTGGAATCTTTAGTAACTCTTTTTAGCAAAAGAAAAAGAAATTTCAATTTCATCTGATCTAAAGTGATGATCAGATTAAACAAACCAGAGATCACATTGGTTTTTTAGGAGTGAGTCTTTGTTTCTGCTTTTTTTTTTTAGTTGTTTTTCTTTATTCATGATAGAGTATGCGTGTACACACATGAAAATAAAAGGCAGAGAGAAGCAGCTTCTATAGGATCTGGCCTTGCCACAAGCCTTCTCCTATAGTCTTCCGACCAGTTGGATTCTGAGCACTCGTGCCTAGGGATTCGAACAGCAGTTGCCATTTGGAATCCGACTTCTGAGCAGTGCATTACCACTGCACCACAGAGTCAGCTCAGGGTCCTAGTTTCTTAATTTTTTTTATTTTTAGAGAGATTTTTGCATAGGGCATGTGCACTTGCCAGAGAGAAAGTGAGAGATAGAGACAGAAAGAGAGGAATAACTTCCCACTCCCCGCCCCCATGGAGGATGGCCATGCTACAATCATTTCTCCTCTTGGGAATGTGAGTTTAAAGCCTCCAGGTCTGGGACCTGAACCGTGGTTGACTATGTGGGAGTCCAGCGACATAGCCATTATGCCATCTGTTGGTCCCCAGTTTCTTAATTTATAATACTAAATTACATTCAAAAAATCTTCTCTCTCTCTCTTTTTTAATTGCTAGAGGGTGTGTGAATTCACTAGGAAGAGGGAGAGAGAGAAAGCACCCCCTCAGTGGGTGTGACTAAGCTACAGTTGTTTTCCCTCCATTTCTCCAACCCATCAGGGCAACCCATTTAGGGCATGCACACATTTGTATCTGGCATGTTTTATAAGCCAATGGAGCCAGGATTCATGCTGTGGTCTGCTATGTGGGATCTGGCTCTCCATGCACAGGGCTTAACCACTGTGCTACAGGACTGGTCATAAATTCCATTGCATTTAAATTTGAGGTTCAATGAGGTAATGAGGGAAAGAAATGACTAAAACAACCTTATATGCAGGAAATGCTCAAAATTAATTTTAGTAAAAATAGCCTTTTTTTTTTTTTTAATTTGTCAAAGGTTGCATACACTCACCAGAGAGAGAAAGAGAGAGAAAGGGAGAAAGTACCCCTAGTGGGGTGTTGTCATGCTGTAATCCCTTCTCTTCCATTTTTCTATCCTGTTGCGATTATGGGAACACATGAACATGTACCCAACGTGTTTTTCAAGACTCTAAGACTGAGATTCAAAGTGTGCCATGGGGATCCCATTCCACTAATCACAGGCACAGGTCTGGCCCACTAATAGCATGGACACTAAACAATTTCTGATTTAGTTTACTTTGAATTTAGGTTTTTGAAATGTAATTAATATCTATTGGTTTTCCCATTGAAAATAAATTAGGGAAATTATTATTAAGAGATTTAAAATTTAATAGTTTAACATTGACATAATTTCTCCTCTCCAGGATATACACAGATTTCCAAAGTAAGAGTGTGATTTTTTTTTTTAAACTGAAATTAAACAACTTGTGTTATACTCCACGCGTCAGACCTTGGAGGTTCTCCACATCACCTAGGGGGTTGAGAGTTGTCTAAGACTCTTTAAAACATTGATTTGGGCCTTGCTGATTTGAGATTCAGTTACCATTGACCTTTGCATGACTTTTGAATTACAAATTAATGTAAACTGTGGTGGCAAAGGTGAGTAGTTTTATTTAAATCTTTTGAGAATCAAAGCACTTTAAAAACTATCACTTATCTACTTGTATTAATTACAGATGTATTTTGAAAAAGATTCTCCTAAGACCCTGCCTTTTATCAATACTTACTATAATTCCATAAAAATTGATAAAAAATGTTTTCATTTCCATTTTTTAAAGTAGTTTATTTCTTTTTTATTGCTGTTGCTGAGACTCTGTCATTAAGAGCCTCAGATAGCCAATGTTAGAACAGAACAGTCTGTATCTGATTAGAGGGGGAAGGAGATTCCTGTCATTTAAATAGGTGGAATTTGAAAAGTTCTGTCATTGGAAAAGCTGGCATTGGGCTGCTGATCTTAACCCTAACTATGAGTGCTACAAGTGCTTATTATAATGTGCTAGTGCTAGGTTTCCTTTTGAATCTGAAGTGGGGATGCTCCTGGTGCCCTCGTGTGGAAAAGTGGTGATGCAACACCTTTAAGAACCCCAGTTCTGCGCAATTGAAAACAGAAGAAAGTTAGGATTCTAGGACATTGCCTAGAGTTTTAGGGTTAACTCTAGGCTTTAATTGACTCTGTAAGAGTCAGTTTCTTAGAGAAAAAGGAGAAAGGCTGTCTTTTACAATGTCAAATAGAGATTTATGACATGGTCAGCCAGTGCTGAAGATGGACACGTAGATAGTTTGTTTTATTGTTCCTGCATTTTTTGTATTAAAAACTTAAAAAAAAATGTATATTTTAGAAGTGATTAGTCCATTGTTTTAGTTGCATGCTGTATCCTTGGAGGAGATTTTATATTAGTTTTAAGCAAGTCATCATGAATCCTGGTTGTGAACAATAAATTGAGACCCGCTTACTTTATCCTGCTTCTTCTTTCAGTTAGGGATGCAAAAGAACTAAGGATGAGGATGAGGAGTAACAGGGAAGGCCAGAAAAATGCATTTTTTCTCTTACTACATTTAGTGGTTTATTTGTAGAATTAACCTTAAATTGCTAGATTAACATTTTTAAGATTTGTTTCCAACCAGTAATTACAAGTTTTTCAGATTAACTAAATACAGTGAAATACCATCCAGTGTGTGTGTGTGTGTGTGTGTGTGTGTGTGCGTGTGTGTGTGTGTACATTTCAAAACAAGATGCAAAAGAACATGAATTGTTGCACCACGTACTAATGAGGCTTCCCTGAAACTGGAAGGGCTTTGGCAAGGCTGCAGTAGATGAAAGTTGACTAGTGGAAAGGCTGACAATGAGGCATGTGATGACAAAGGCGTGTTCTGAAGACGTTCAGCATCTTTTGGTTTGAACAGTTTTGCCAATTTTCACAGTTCTAGCAAGTGAGATACTGGGAAGTAAAATAGAATTAACTAGAGTTGCATGCAAGAGATGCTGCGTTTTGACAGAAATAAGAATTGTGGTGTGATGAGAATATTTTCAAGGCAGTTGTAGGACTACCATAATTACTATGTGCTCATGCCATAACTTCTTCTCTGTCTTTGTATCTTGTTATCCCAATTTTTTGCAAAGAACGTAATTGTGGGATTTCTCTTCAAAAGGACACTGAAGCCATGAAGAGAGCATTGGCCTCCATAGACTCCAAACTGAACCAAGCCAAAGGTTGGCTTCGTGACCCCAGTGCCTCCCCAGGTAACCCTCTAGTTTTGTTTGTCTGATAAACATAACAGAAAGCTAAAAAACAAGTAAAAGGAGGAAAGAAATCCTCCCATAACCTCATAATACTGAAATAAACAGTGTAACATTTTGGAGCATGCCAGATAAATAAATAAAGGTCATAGATGGTACCACCTCTCAGAGGGATAAATCAAGCTAAATTGGGCATTCTTTGTAAAAATATTGACTCTCCCTTTCCCTGAATCACAATGAAAATTATTTTGGATAAAAGTTCTTTTCTTCAGGGCTAGCAGGTGGTGTAGTGGTTAAGGTGCTGGATTCCCATGGGGCTGACCCTGGTTCTTGGACCTGGTGACTTGAAACTCATGCTGGGGGTGTGTGTGCCTGTGTGCCCAAAATCCTGAGAGGAGAATGGAGGTGAAAAGATTGTAGTATGATCACCCTAGGGTGTGTGTGTGTGATTCCTTGCCTCCTGTCTCTGTCTTTCTTGGTCTCTCTGGCAAGTGCACGCACCCTATAGCAAAAACAAACAAACAAACAAAAACAACCTCTCAAAAAAAAGAAGAAAAAAAAAACAACTCTTTTCTTCTGTATATTCCATAGGGCAGACTTCTATTTTTGCCAACAAAGTACTTACTTAGGCATAGTAAATAATGATGGCAATAAGAATCGGAAATCAAAGCTAACCATATAAAGATAAAACACAAATAAGTTATTGAGGTAGGCTTTCTGGATTTTCTAATCTAATATTTATTCAGTTTTAGATTAATATGTGAATGAATGTGAAAAGCCTAGTAGAGTTTGGAGGTGCCAAGTACTATTAAATCATTAGAGCATGTTTTCATCATCCATATTCTTTTTTTTTTGAAGAGGTTTTTGCTATAGGACGCATGAGCTTACCAGAAAGACAGAGAGAGAGAGAGAGAGAGAAATCGAGAAATCACCCCTTGTGGGGATGGCCACACCACAATCCCTTCTCCTCCATTCTTCTCTCAAGATCTTGGGCATGCACATGCACCTGGTGTAAGTTTAAGCCACCAGTTCCAGGACTTGAACCACGGTCAGCTATATGGGAGTCCAGCGACATAGCCATTATGCCAAATGCTTGTCCCTCATCATCCATATTCTTACCATATGCTGATTAGTATCTCTAAATGAATATGGTTCTAAGTATCTTTTTTAGCATTATCTGCGGTGAAACCTCACCCTAAAGTTATAAGGGCACTGTTTGGCTGTTAGCTATTGGGTGTATTGCTTTCTATTCACTTGACTTGTTTAAAATCATCCATTCCTTTGTGAACAAAATGACTTGTAAAGTATCCTCTCTAAATAATTAATGTGTCAACACCATAGATATTGAATATCGTTTTATTTTAGGGGATGCTGGTGAGCAGGCCATCAGGCAGATCCTAGATGAAGCCGGAAAAGTTGGTGAACTCTGTGCAGGCAAAGAACGCAGGGAGATTCTGGGAACCTGCAAAATGCTCGGGCAGATGACTGATCAAGTGGCTGACCTCCGAGCCAGGTAAAGTTCCTCTGTCTTACAGAATAACTCGCTCTTGACTAGACGATGCAGAAAACAAGACTCTTCCAATTTTACTGCGTTATTGTTGGCTAATATTAGGTTGCTGGAAAAGTCATGATATATTTTTTATGTTTTTCTATGCAAATTCGTGTCATGACTTTTCAACATAAAGTATTATATCCTATTAGTTCTTTTGAGACTGAGGTGAACTTCCCCTTTGCTGAACTTTTAAAAAATGCTGAATTCTAACAACAAAGCTGAAACTTATTCTGTACTTGAAGTTGATTTTTGAATTTCTAACCACAGGCTTGAGAAGAATAATGTGTAGTAACGAAGTCTGGTGTAGGTAAATATGTTTTATGAAGAATGGGTAGAAAGAAACTTAAGTGAAAACATTGGTCTTATTTCACATCATTTTATTTAATTAATGTATGTATTTTTAATTTGCCAGAGGGTGGGTACATTTGCTGGAGAGAAAGAGAGGAGAAAGAGAGCAAGTGATAAAATAGCCCCCATGGGGAATGTTCATGATGCAATTCCTTCTCCTCTATTCTCTTTTTGAGATTTTGGGCATGCATGCACATACTTTCAGCATATTTCCCAAGCCACCAGGTCTGGAACTCAAACTGCAACAATCGGGTATGTGGGATCCAACCAGCTTAACCACCAAGCCACTGGCCGTTCTGTTTCACGTCATTTCGAAAATCAGTTAAGGTTATCCTTTAAAGATTATTCTTTAAGAGAGATTTTTGTTATAGGACCTGCACACTTGCCAGAAAGACAGACAGAGATAGAGAAACAGAAAGTGAGAAATCACCCCCCAGGGGGGATGGCCACACCGCAGTCCCTTTTCCCCCATTCTCCTCTCAGGATCTTGGGCATGAATGTACACGCATCTGGCGTATGTTTAAGCCACTGAGTCCGGTACTCAAACTGTGGTCTACTATGTGGGAATCTACTGATGCACCTGTTACACCATCTGCTGATCCCTAAAGGTTACTCTTTAAAGTGGTAATTTCTGAACTCTTTTGAGTTTCCATTTCATCATTTATTTGGTTTATAATTCTTTTATATTCGTTTTCCTCTTCTCAGGTCTTGGCATTTAGAACTCCCCTGCCCCCATAAATTAAACATACATGGTTTGCTATGGAGAAAACTCATTATAAGAAACATTTGTTTGGAATTCACCCATAAAACTAATGAAGTTCTAAAAGATTTTTGTTTTTATGAAATCTTATGGTATGGCCATTAAGAAAAATTGAAGTGTAATGAAACATGCTCATAAAATATTGTGTATAATTTCCAGAGGTTTGTGGATTCCCTATAGTCCTGGAAGCTCCAGTGCCTTCAGGCTGAGACCCTGTGTTGAATGAGAGAAGAAATAGCTTAAGTAAATGTGATCTCACTGAGCTCACTGAGCCTTTTCTCCTGCTAAGAAGCAGTCTCCTCTGTCATGAACATGACAAGAACTTTGCCAAAAGGACAAAAAGCAGTTTTGTTCCCATTCGGAGAAATGCCAATGCAGTTTGACAAGATTCTTGGCTCTTCTGATTTCTCACTTCTGGCTCTTTTGTTTGCAGCCTTTTCACAGTGTGGTAGACAGTTTTCACTTGGAATTCTCAAATACACAGTTGTATGTGTTTAGAGAAAGACTAATATGAGCAAGAGAATGAGGTAGTTGTTTCCTGGGATCGACCATTAATCTGCAAAGAGAAAAGGCTAGAACAGTGATGAGTGGCGATGGGCCTGCTTCACAGGACAGCCTACAATATTCTTTCATCATGAAAGATTAGAAAGCTATCCCCTTAAATATACCCAGCTGTTTAACATTTTAGTGGCTGAGATGGAGTGGCAATTTCTTCACTGATATTCTTCTGTTTAGTCATGTACAGTTTCTAGTGATAAATAAGTGTATGTGTGTGTGTGTGTGTATATATATACATATATATATGTATATATATATTTTTTGTTTTACCCCTCTGGGATTCAGCAACCTTATTTTGAATAAGAAACTATGTAGCACATAGATATTTTTACTTCTTTCTAGTTGGAGTCTTATAACAAAAAGATTTCTCATAATTACTGGATTTAAAGGAAAAAGCATGTTACATCATAAAGGGTAGATATTTTTAGAAGTTCTCCACTGTTCTACCATTTAAAAGGAAGTCCTCAAATCTGTGTAAAAGGTGTACATTTATATCTGTAGATAACATCTGTGGTATATAGATAAATCTATAGATACATATCTCAAGATATATATGTATATCTTTTTTTTTTTTTGAGAGGTTTTTGCTATAGGGTGCGTGCGCTCGCCAGACAGAGAGACATAGAGACAGAAAGCGAGAAATCACCCCCCAGGGGAGATGGTCACGCCGCAATCCCTTCTCCTCCATTCTCTTCTCGGGATCTTGGGCACGCACACGCGCCCGGCGTGAGTTTTAAGCCACCATGTCTGGGACGTGAACCGCAGTCGACTACGTGGGAGTCCAGCGACATAGCCATTACGCTAACTGCTGGTTCCCTATATATGTATATCTTGCAGTAAATTTATGACATCATTACCTTAAATGTTAATGTAAGTGGAAAAATACAACTGAGTTTTCTTTTTTAAAAAATTATTTAATTTCATTCAATTATTATTATTATCATTATCATTTGACCAGAGAGCGATAAGAGAGAGAGAAGGAAGGTGAGAAAGTAAGCTGCCAGGTCCAGGACTTGAACTGTGGCTGGCCATGTGGGAGTCCAGCATCTTAACCACCACACCACTTGCTGGCCCCATAACTGAGTTTTACAAAAGAGGCTAAGTAGATGAATGATAGATCCATACTATTAAGGGATGCAAAGATGTTTTGGAGTTCATCCTAAAGTTGGAAGCTCAGATTATAATTCCCAGCCATGCCATTCTATCAAATAATATACTTGCCAACTTTGTGATTAAGTTACCAGGCTGGTGGGTTAAAAAATCAGCGATTCTGGGGCCGGCAGGTGGTATGATAGTTAAAGACACCGGACTCCCACATGGCTGACCACAGTTCAGGTCTCAGACTTGGTGACTTGCTTTCTCACTTTCTTTCTCCTCTCTCTCTCTTGGTCTCTGTCTTTCTCTGGTCAAATAAAAAAAAAATAACAATAGCAATAGTAATAATAAATAAAGTTAAATTAAAAATTTTTTTTGAACTTCTAAAAGGGGCTAGATGGTGGTGCAACAGGGAAAAAAACATTGCTCTGTGAGTCAGATCCACATGGGAAAGTTCTAGGTTCACATCTGAAGACTTTCCTCAGGACCCCAGGCTCGTATGTGCCCATGAGCGCGGGCTGGCTGAAACTGAGGGTGGGTTGAGGCATCAAAACCATGTTGTCGGTGCCATCCTCTCTGTCTCTCTTTCATGCTTATGGATTAGATAAATAAAAGCTTTAAAAATAAATTTAAAAATTAATAAAGATAGCAAATCTTAATCACTTGGAAAGTCTCTTTGATGAAGAAAACAAATTTCTACTAACTCACTTTTTTGGGTCTGTGTGTGGTAATAACATGCCATTTTT